ATACAGAGTGGCGGTGGGGAGTGGATCTCAGGGAACCATACCACAATCACTGACCATTGTGATTTGCAAGTAATTTCTAAATTCTAGCTCCCCATCCTCCACCTTATCAACTCTCAAAACTACAAGAGACAGCAAAGCTTCCCACCCACTGCCCTGTTTCAAAATAGGACAAATTCAGGGCCGTGGTCAGGGAAGAATAGAGGACTGAGCAAACATCAGAAGTAAAAGCCTCTGCCACTGCCACTGAATAATGGAACTAAAGAGAAAAGAAAGAGATCTGTCACAAATGAGGAAAAATCAACAGAGGAACACGGGTAAATCTCAGTGTTACAAAGAGAAAACACCTAAAACATCAGACCTCAGAGCCCAAACAATGGAAATCACTAACAACAGACCCCAGAACACAACAGGGATTAGACAATGGATGGAAAAAGTGAATAAGACTCAAGAAAGAGCCGGGCTTGGTGGCTCAGCCTGTAATCCTGCGCTTTGGGAGGCTGAGGTGAGTGGACTGCCTGAGCCCACAGGTTCGAGACTCACCTGGGCAACTTGGCGAGACCTCATCTCTACAATAAATCAAAAAATTAGCCGGGTGTGGTAACGCATGCCTGTAGTTCTAGCTACTTGGAAGGCTGAGGAGGAAGGATCTCCAGAGCCCAGCAGGTCAAGGCTGCGGTGGCCAGAAGCATGCCACTGCACTCCAGTCTGGGTGACAGAGTGAGACTCCAACTCAAAAAAAAAAGAGAGAGAGAAAAAGGTCAGACTACCTACCAGGGAACACCAATCAGAATACCAGCAGACTTATCAGCAGGGACTAGAGTCCAATATTCAAAGTCCTCAAAGATAAACAATTTCAACCAAGAATTTCCTACTCAGCCAAGCTCAGCTTCATCAGCAATGGGAAAAGACACAGAATGGCAAGCTAGATTAAAAAAACCATAACCTAATAATTTGCTGCATCCAGGAAACTCATCTCACCACAAGGGACACACACAAACTCAAAGTTAGAGGATGGAAAGCGAATTTCCAGGTGAATGGATCACAAAAGAAAGCAGAAGTCATGATCTTAATATCAGACAAAACAACCTTTAAGCTATCAAAAATGTAAAAAGATATGGAAGGACACTACATAATGATAAAAGGTCCAATCCATCAACAAGAAATATCCATCCTAAACATATATGCACCCAACACAGAAGCACCAGTGTTTATAAAGCAACTACTAAATAAACTAAAAAAAGATGTTGACTCTAACACTATTATAGCTGGGGACATAAGCACCCCACTAACAACCATAAATAGATTATTGAGGCAAAAAATCAAAAAAGAGATTTGGAACCTCAATTTGACACTTGACCAAATGGACTTAACAGGTACCTACAAAATACTCCACCCAACAACTACAGAATATACATTCTACTCATCACCACATGGAATGTACTCTAAGATCAATCACATCCTTTGCCATAAATCAAGCATATACAAATTCATAAAATAGAAATACTGTCGGGCAATCCCTTCGGGTACCCTCCCACTGTGGGAGATTTTATGTCCTCTCAATAAATCCTGCTTTCAAAAAAAAAAAAGGAAGAAATACTGCCATGCACCTTCTCAGAGCACTGTGGAATAAAAATAAATATCAACACCAACAAAATTTCCCCAAAACCCACAAAGACATTGACACTAAACAGCATGATGCTGAACAACTACTGGGTCAACACAGAAATTAAAACAGATAATAAAAGATTCCTGGAAACAAATGAAAATGAAGAAACACGCTACCAAAGCCCCTGGGATGCCATGAAAACACTTCTAAGAGGGGAATTTATAACTCTACGAACACACTTCCAGAAAGTAGAAAGATTACAAGTTAATAGCCTAACAAATCACCTAAGGGAGGTGAAAAGACAAGACCACCAAAACCCTAACTTTTAGCAGAAGAATTCAGATTACCAAAGTAAAAGCCCAAATCAAGACATAGAAGACAAATATATCATAGAAAAAAAATCAACAAAACAAAAAGCTGGTTCCTTGAAAGAATAAACAAGATTGATGGACCCCTAGCCAAAATGACCAAGAAAAAGAGAGAAAAAGCCCAAATAAACACAATCAGAAATGCAAAAGATCAAATCACAACTGACCCCCAAGAAATACAAAAAATTATCAGGTTACAATGCACACCTGTATGGAAACAAACTCGATAACCTAAATGAAAGGGAGGATTTTCTGATATCATACAACCTACCTAGGTTGAAACAAGAAGATACTGAGACACTAACTAGACCAGCACAATCCAGGAAATAGTCTCCATCATAAGAAAACTACCTACAAAAAAAAGCCCTGGACCAGACAGCTTCCCAGCAGAATTCTACAAAACATACAAGGAGGAGCTAATACCAGTCCCACTGAATATATTCCTCCACATATAAAATAAAATAAAATAAAATAAACAAACAAAACAAAATAAAATAAAGTGAAAGTATTCCAGGCAATTGAGAAAGATGGAATTCTCCCTAAATCATTTTACGAAGCTAACATCACACTGATACCCAAACCAGGTAAAGATCCAACAAAAAAAAACAGAACTACAGGCCAAGATCCCTAATGAACACAGATGCAAAAATTCTCAACAAGACTCTAGCAAATTGGATCCAACAACACATCTTAAAAACTATCCACCATGACCAAGTAGGCTTCATCCTCAGGACACAGGGCTGATTCAACATCTGCAAGACCATAAGTGTAATTAAATACATTGTAATGTAAAAACAAGAACTAAATGATTATATCATTAGATGCAGAAAAAGCTTTTGATAAAATCCAGCATCCCTTGATAAAAACCCACAAACACCTAGGCATAGAGGGAAAATACCTCAAAATAGTAAGCGCCATCTACAATAAACCCACAGTCACCATATTGCTAAGTGGACAGAAACTGGACATATTTCCCCTGATAACTGGAACAAGACAAGGCTGCCCACTCTCATCCCTCTTGTTCAACATTGTGTTGGAAGTCCTAGCTAGAGCAATTAGACAAGAGAAGAAAATCAGAGGTATCTAAACAGGAAAAGAGGAAGTAAAGTTATCCCTCTTTGCTGATAATATGATCCTATACCTCGAAAACCCAAGAGAATCTGTCAAAAACCTGCCTTCACAGATAAAGGACTTTGGCAAAGTCTCAGGGTACAAAATAAATGTGCAAAAGACAGGTGCATTCTTATACACCAATAACAAGCAGGCAGACAACCAAATAAAAAGCACAATCCCAATCACAATAGCCACACACACACACACAAAAAATGAAATACCTTGGCATCTTCCTAACCAGAGAAGTGAAAGACCTTTACAGTGAGAACTACAAAAGAAATTCACAAAGACACAAACAAATGGAAAAATATTCCGTGCTCATGGATACGAAGAATCAACATTGTTAAGATGTCCTACCAAAGGAAATCTACAGATTCAACACAGTACCCATTAAACATCATTCCTCTCAGACCTGGAAATGACAATTCAGAAATTCATATGGAAACATAAACAACCATGAACAATCAAAACAATCCTCAGCAAAAGAAGCAAAGCGGAAGGTATCACACTTCCAGACTTTAAACTTTACTATAAGGCTACAATAATCAAAACAGCCTGGTATTGGTATAAGAATAGGGACATGAACCAATGAGACAGGATAGAAATTCCAGAAGCAAAAATCTCAATTTCTCAACCAACTCATCTTCGACACAGGCTCCACCAACAAACACTGGGGAGAGGAGAACCTATTCAATAAGTGGTGCTGGAAAAACTGGCTGAACACATGCAGAAGATTGAAACAGGAACCCTACCTGTCACCATACACAGAAATCAATTCTAAATGGATCAAAGGCCTAAACGTAAAACTTCAAACTATAAGAAACTTAGAAAATACAGGAGACAACCTTATGGAAATTGGAACTGGCAACCAATTCCTGATCAAAACCCCAAGTGCCTGTACCATAAGAGATAAGATAGGTGGGACCTCATTAAACTGAAAAGCTTCCTCAAAGCAAAAGAAACCATCAAGAGAGAGGGGAGACAGCCCACAGAATGGGAAAAAATATTTGCCAACTATATATCTGACAGAGGCCTAACATTCAGGATCCACAAGGAACTCGAATGTGCTGAAAGGAAAAAAACAAACAGCCTCAATAAAAAGTGGGCAAAAGACATGAAAAGATACTTCTCAAAAGAAGATATACTCAGCGTCAGAGAAAAGCAAACCAAAACCACATTGAGATACCACCTAACCCCAGTAGAATGGCCATCATTAAGAAAACAAACAACAGATGCTGGCAAGGATGAGGAGAAAAAGGCACGCTTCTACACTGCTGGTGGGAATGCAAACTAGTGTAACCTCTTTGGAAGACAGTGTAGCAATTTCTAAAAGAACTAGACACTGACCTTCCAAATCACCCAGCAATTCCCCTACTGGGAACTCAAATCATTCTACGAAAAAGATACCTGCACACGTATGTTTACTGCAGCACTATTCACAATAGCAAAAACATGGAACCAACCACGTTGCCCATTGAAACTGGACTGTATTAAAAAAATGTGATACATATACACAATAGAATATTATGCAGTCATAAAGAAGAACAAACATATGGACTTTGCAGTCACTTGGGTGGATTTAGAGTGATCTATCACAGAAACAAAGGACAGACTACCATATGTTTGACTCATAAGCAGACCCTGAACGTGTACCATAATACTATAAGAAAGGGATTAGTAGTAGTGGGATACTGCCAGGGTGGATGGGAGCAGACACAACAACAATAAGGGTATCTGATATCAAACCAGGCAAAGTGGGGCCAAAGGGAGGCTCAAACTTTACTTGTGTGATGACCACTTGTATCCCTACTTCTGAACTGCACCCACATCATTAAAATAAAAATAATAAATAAGAGCTATTAATTAGAATTCACTAAGACATCCACTAAGTGATTTAGTTCCATGATACAAACCTACTGCAGCATGAAACTGAGATAAAGCATCAGCTAGCTGTCCAGCTGCAAGTAACTTCTTGCCCAGTTCAAGATGCTTCTCAACATCTGCATTTACTCCACATTCAGCACCTAAAAGTAAGTTTAAAAATAATCAGTTAACTTTCCACAAACCAAGATTTGACTCTAAAAAGTAAAATGTTAAAAATATAGTCATCTGGCTCAGTCATCTGAGAAGTCACAGAAGCTGAAAAATGGTGTAAAGAAAGTAACAATAAAACACAGTGCTATATTTTATAGCATGTAAGAAGCCAAAAAATATACCCACACCGACCTAATCAGTCAAAAGAATGTAATCAATCTACAAAGTAAAAGGGAAGTTACATAACACAGAAGCAGTAAAAAAATTTTGAACAATAAAGTTGCTTTGTTAAGTTAGACCCCCACCTTAATGAGTACTATATAGTCTGTTATAATACTCAAGTACTTATTGAGCACCTATAATGCACCAGGCACTACTCTAGGTATTTGGGATAAGTAAAAAACAGCCGAAAACCCCTGCCTCTCATCCCCTCCTGGCACCTGACATTATGGTGAGAAGAGACAGACATAATAAAAATAAATTACACGGGTGAAAAGTACTGTGGAAAAAGCTGAGCCACATGAGGGGATCAGGGGGGTGTGGGGACTTACAGTAGTAAATAACAAGGTCAAGAGCAGGCCTCCATGAGAAGCTGCCATCTGAGCAAGACATGAAGGAAGTGAGGAACTCACTATGCAGACATCTAGGAAAAGAACATCCAGGAAGAGGCACCAGCTAGTGCAAGGGCCCTAATTTAGGAGCATGCAGATATGTTCCAGAAACAGCAGGGAGGTCTGGATGGCGGCACTAGGGCCAACAAGGAGATACTAATAGGAGGTCAAAGTAGAGGACCTGATTATGCACGACTTTGAATTTTTGCTCTTCATAAAATAGGGAGCTACTGAGGAATCTTGAGTAGGATAACATGATCTGACTGACTGGGTCAGTTTTCAGTGTATTGCCTCTCAACTCTGAATCCATCCTTTAGTAATAAATAATATTGCACTGAAATAATGGCCTGGAGTTTTTAAGCATGTTTCCACAAGCACAATATTAGGCTTTGTCAGGAAAGGGCACTAAAAGGACTGCCAAAAGGACACCTGTTTTTGCTTGCTGCATATTACTTTTTCTGGCTCCTGCCGCATGGTCTGTCATGGGGAGAACTTCCTGCTGCATGTTGTGAATGAGGAGAACATCCAGTGGTGCTCTGCTGTAGCCACATGCCTGGGGTCCAGTCCCTCAGCAACCTGGCAGCCTCAGCCCAGGCACCATCTCCCAATAAGGACACCACAAACTCCAGGCTTCACATCCACAGCAGCACCCAGACTCCTTATGGACACAGGCCAACCAACCTTGACTCATTTCCACCTGAAAGAATCATTTTTACTTGCCCAGTTACCGTGAACCAGCTCTAGCCCCATCCACTCAGCAAACTTTTCCACCAGCAAACTTGGAGCGGGGAGGGAGCAACTGCACCTTTTTCAACAGTCTGAAACCCAGCCTTGAGGAAGGGGCCCTTTCCAAGTTGGCCCTTCCTTGAGACTGCTCCTAAGCCCTAGAATATCCTTTACAGTTCTGCTTATATCTTTAGTTACTTTTCTATCATAATGTAACAAATCTTTATATTAAACTTCCCCTTTTAAAATTATTGTACAGTTTCGGTCTCCTCAATGGACCCAGACTAATATAGGAGATAGGCCCACTAGCGGTTTGAGTACAGCACTAAGCTCCATGCCACTGGGAAACAAGATGTTAGTAATTCAAAGTAGGTACTGGAATCACAATTAAGCTATCACCTGTGGCTGACTGTAAGGAAGTACTAACAGAGGCACATGTCTTGGAAGTCCAAGTGGCTGCTGCAGATTGTAATGGCAAAAATTATGACAATAAGAACGGTGATGTGGGGTGAGTTCTTCTAAGTACACTAGAGCACCTACAAAGATAAAATAAGAAGCTCATATCAGTCCACTCAAGTCATGGTCTGAGAACTGACTTAGCTTAAAATCAAACACACAACTTAATTTTGAGGGTTGCTGAATTAAAACAATAGTTGAATCTACAGTCTCACCAAGTTTATCCTGTGAAAATATGGGCATAAATTAGTAAAGAGCAGCTCCTTAAATCTGGAATGGGAAGATCAGTTTGGCCCCAAATGATACTGCCCAGCATGAGCCCCCAAGTCCTCCTGAGTCTTCTTTACCTGAAGCAGCTTGCCTTCCCATGCCTGAGATGAGCCTTCCACTGCTAAGAAACAAACAAGCAAATAAACAAACAAAAACAACCTAGGGCAACCTTACCTAGGGCAGATACCATAAAAAAGAATGCTCATCCTCCTCAAGACCCACCATAACCAGTCCCATTGTCACTAACCCATGTCATATCTTGGCAGGCTCCAGAGAAACAGTTTACAATATAATCCCAAGTACCTCCTTTGAAGTGTTACCAGCTTAGCACACCAAAAGAACTGCAAGACTTTACTGTTAAATATGCAGAGCCCTACAGAACATGTATGAGAACGGATTCTAAAGGTGCTAGCCCAAGGAAGGTCTAATTCGTTTATATGCACATACTTACAAAGCAAAGGTCAGCAAGCTGTTTTTGTAAATGAAGTTTTACTAGAACACAGCAATGCCCACAATGAACACACCACACTGTGTGTGGCTGCTTTCACACTATGGCAATAGAATATAGTTATGACAAAACCTATGTGGCCTGTAAAACCTAAAATACTTACCATCTGACCTTTTATGGTAAAGGTTTCTCTACTTCTAAATGAGAGATCCCATGTGTAACACTCACAAAGCTGAGGTGGTTTGAACAACTTACCTGATTGGCTGACTGAAACTTGGACTCAACAACACCCTACATTTAATAAGGCTGAGATTCCAAAGTTTTCCTAGCATAACTGGAGGGAGGCTTAAAGGCATAGGAATTTTGGAATGGATTTATCATATGTCACCCACATACTAAACTCCCACTTACGTACCATGAGAGGGCACTTTTTCTGGCTCCTGCTGTATGGTCTGTCATGGGGAGAACTTAGAAGTCACCCTTTACTAAGGCATTGAGAAATGTATTAGTGAGGCACCACCTGCAGCCTTTTCAAAACTCTTTGGTCACTCCCCTTCATAGAACAGGTATGACTATGGGAGTATGACATCAATGAGATGAGCTCCCTGATTTTAATGGGGATAAAACTTAAATAGCAGCACTTAACCATCAGAGATTAGGTGGGCATATCAACTGTAAAAGGCATCCACTGCAGAGGAGAATCTTCCTTCTGCATCTTACCCATGCTTGTGCAATGAAAGAAGTGGTCATGGCGGCAGAGATTGAAGGCTATGAATGGGTTCAAAAACAAGTTAGTCCCTACCAAAACTGACCTGGCTAAAGCTACTGCTGAGCATCTAATCTGCCAATACTAGAGACAATACCAGCTCTGGCCTTTTTCTATAACTTTCTCCTCTTCTTTGGCTAACAAACTTTGTTTTAAAACTTTGCTGAGCACTCTAAAATTCATTTTAGGGTCAAGTCAAAGGGCCCATAAGTTTTGCACTGTACTCCACCTGGCATCACTTCCATATGCAATACCTAAAGGCTAATGAAAAACTACAGCAACCAAAATAGAACAAGACTCAGACCCTTCAGGAATGAAAATGTTTTTTAAAAAAAAGAAAAAGCCAGACTAGCTAAAAGTCTAGCTGAAGGCAAGAAAAGTATAGAACAGGTAGTTGAAGGAGACCACATGTATCAGCTAAGACCTCAGACCAGTTAAGAACACAAGAACTGTAGTAGCTTTGCATATTTTCCTTTTGCTCATTTGTGTATTCAAGTCAATTCTCATAATCCAGATTCTGAATTTGTGAATTCACCCACTAAAATTCATTTGTAACCCCCAAACTAATACTCGCAGCACTTTTACAGTCATTAAGGAACACAGTGAAAATATGAATCTCAAAGTGACCAGCTGAGGTCAAACAAGGTAATACTCTGCCTTCCTTTTTCAGCTTTCCTATTAAAAAAAAGTATCATTTCCACAGTACATCTAATGTCACTTTTTTGTGTGTGCTTCCTGTTACTGATTTCACCATTTCAAATGGCTCCCAAGTGCTCTCTGGTGTTCCTATACACAGGAAAGCAGTTATGTGCTTTGCTGAAAAAAATGTGTGTCAGTTAAGCTTTTTTCAGCTGTGATAGTGCTGTTGGCTATGAGTCCAATGTTAACATATCAACAATATATATTAAGTAAAGTGGTTTTAAACAGAAATACTTCAAAAAACAATGTTATGTCTTAACATGCTGACAAAAATGTGACCCAAGGCTTGAAGGAAGCTAACTCTGTATTTCTCCTAGGAGCAGTGGTTCAATATTAGCTAATTCAGTGCACAAAACCCTAAATACTTTAACGAGTATGTAATCAACTTTTTTTGCAAATAAAATTGACATACAATGAAATGTCCATTATGTGTACATTTGCTGAGTTTTGAGGTCTGGATATAGCTGTGTAACCTACACTTCTAATCTTGAGGTGCATTATCAGCACCTCAGAAAGTTCCCTCCTACCTCTTCTCATTCTGTCCTTTCTCCTACTCTCCTAAGCAACCACTGTTCTGACTTTTTTTTTCCCTGCAATTTTCCTTTAGCACCTTGAAAAGCTTAACATCGTGCTCACTATAAAGGAGACATGCTTTGGATACTTAATTTCTGTAAGCATCCTTCTATACATATTTGAATACTATTTTTGCTATGGTCTGAATGTTTGTGTCCCCCCCCGCCCCCCAAAATTTGTTGTTGAAAACTAATCCAATGTGATAGCATGTAGACTCAGGCCTTTAGGAGATTCTTTAATCCCAATCCCTCATGACTGGGATTAGTGTCTCTATAAAGACATAGCTATCCTTCTTACAAGTGAAGAAGTTCTTACCCACCCCCCAATAAGATTCATAGTTCCAACAATCATGTATCCATCACTGGCTATATTAATTACTACTCTTATTCCATCACTGTCCCACTCAATATTCCATGATAGAAAGAATAAATTATAAAGTTA